GTCATTAACAGTCGTTAATTGATTACAAGTGTTTATTATTGATAGATAGGGATTATTTATTTCGCCGGCGTAGACCTTAAAGCAGGCACGTGGCTTTGCGGGCAAAAATTGCCACAACAATGGCTCCCAACCTATGGTGCTGGCTCCGAGCCAAACGGAGCTCAGCTCCGAGCCTATGGAGCTGGCTCCGAGGAAGAACACTGGATAGATTCATCCTCATCCTTATCTTCTTCTCCCTTATCTTTAGCTTGCTTATCCTTATCCTTATCCTTATCTTTATCTTCTTAACTTCCTTATCTTTATCTTCCTTATCTTTATCTTGCTTATCTTTATCTTCCTTTTCTTTATCTTCCTTATCTTTATCTTCCTTATCTTTATCTTGCTTATCTTTATCTTGCTTATATTTTTCTTGCTTATCCTTATCTTTATATTTATCTCTTCTTCTCTTCTTCTCTTCTTCTCTTCTTCTCTTCTTCTCTTCTTCTCTTCTCTCTCTTCTCTTCTCTTCTTTATCTTTATCTCTAACTTCCTTATCTTCTTCTTATCCTTATATTTATCTTTTTATCTTCCTTATCTTTTCAATCATTGAATCATAAGATTGAAACATTGAATCCTAAGATTGAATCATTATATCTTAAAACTGAATAATTGAATCATAAGATTAAATCATTGAATCATAAGATTATTGAATAATTGAATCATAAGATTAAATAATTGACTCATAAGATTGAATCATCAAATCCTAAGATTGAATCATCGAATCCTAAGATTAAATCATTGAATCCTAAGATTGAATCATTGGCGAGTGTGTTCACCCCTGGAAAGCTAAAAAGTTTTGCTTGTCCCTACTATCCTTTCCACCACAGCCAAGCCAACCTTTTAGCTTTCCCAGGGTGAACACACTCGCTAATGATTTAATCTTAGAATTTAATGATTCAATCTTAGGATTCGATGATTCAATCTTAGGATTCGATGATTCAATCTTATGATTCAATGATTCAATCTTTGGCTTGTAACTTTGGCCTGTGACTTTGACAGCACACATTTTCGATGCCAACAAGATAAAATTTCTGTATATCTCGCACAGTTACTGTAATAACTCTGTGTTTGTTTGTATTTTTTCTGTCTCAAGCTCGCTAGGTGAAATAAAAATTGTATCCGCATGGAGTGGGCGGGTTAATTACTTTGCAATGACTCTGTAATATGCAAATATCGACCATAACAACGGCGGTGTCAACCATATTAACTTTGGCTTAGCAACTGCTTAGTTCTGTTTAAAATTTTTCATATATATGTCTGGATTTTTATTAGTCCCTGATTAATAGTCCTAAATATGGTGAGTATATCTCCTGGGAAAACCAATGATGGAGTTAAAGTAGTGGACACTCTAAGATAATCTAATAAAACCTTGCAATACGATGAATTCAAATACACCTTTTATACTCTATTTCTAATATCGTTTAATGCCGTTAATCAGCAGGTTCTAGAAAGAAACTACTGGGGTTTTTTAAACATTTTGTGCGAGAACCAAGGAACCCAAGAGAACCCCTGCAGAATTCCCTCGGAATCTTTGCAAACTCCTATAAGTCAGGTATGTTGATAATACAGAATTCTCACTGCACATGCGTACAAGCACAATATTTACGTCCCACAAGCATTAGAACAACTTGAGTAGAATATACTGCGAGAATCGCGTCAAAATTCTCATTCGGTTTGTTGGAAGAAAATTCAGGAATATTTGTCGGGGGACAAACATTAGCAAAGTATTAAACCGCAAAAATTCCCCTAAAATGCTAGTAATCATTAGTTTGCGCTCGTTAACCCTGTTTGTACCGGGGTTTTTTCATGTTGATATGACCGGGGGTGCGCTGATAAGGCATACCCCTCAGAAATTCTGTCGATTAACTGCCATTATCCTACAAGTTTTATTTTTAGTAAGTTTTATCTTTCTTTAAATTATCCTAAAAATAACAAAAAAGTTAAATTTGCTTCCAAAATGTTGTTTTTGGCCCCATTGGACACGACCGCCTATAAAAAAATGGCGAATATTGGTAATATTTTACTCATTTTGGTTATGTTTTGTAAAGAGATAAAAAATATTTTGGATGTGATATTTTTTGGGCCTTTTACATTCAAAAGACATACTTTTATGTTATGGCATATCTCAGATGTCCATAAACACCACTATTTTTCTTTCCAAGCTGGCATTTCTGTACCGTATGAAAAGACATACAACTGAAACTTACCAGTCTCCCCGTATAAATAATCCAAATAATTTTCAGCATCACTGATTTCACCTACATCACTGTCAGTGACACTGTCATTGTTGTCATAATGTTCCATAAATCGCATAATATTCGCAATTGCGCATTCTGCTGAAACTCTAGCTGTTTTCGTTGGCATAACTTTCTTTAGTGTAAACGAATAAATATTGATCTGAAGTCGATCGACAAAAGGTTGTAGAAAAAATACGAAATGGCGACCATGTTTTTATACGAATATACTATGTGTTACATGAAGTGTAACGCAGGTGAGCTACGAGCCTGCAGCATAGAATAAGAAATGAATAGAAGGGCGTCTTGAGTCGGAAGCTTTGACGTTTTTGAAGCCGCGCATGTCCCCCATAGAAATATTAGACCTGCAATGCGTGCTTGGTCACGTGACCGGTATCCAAATTGAAAACAAAAATGCTCTTATAAATCCGCCATGTTGAATTTGAGCATAGGAGTGCAAACTACAAAGTATAAACAAAGCTAAAACTAAGTTCTCATCGGCAAAAAGTTTTGTCTTGCTGTCTAATTTGTAGTTTGGGGATATGTTTTGAAATATTAAGTTCTTTAAAGGCTCGAAGCAACTGACTGTGCAGTTACTGACAAAAACGGTGAAAATCATGCAACCTTGTAAAAACAAAGTAGTTTCGCGTGTTAAAATATAAATTACTCATAAAACATTTTTGCATGCTCTGAACGTATAAACTGTTTTGCTAATATTTTATTAAATTACGAAATGATAGTTCATTCTTCGTCGGGTTTCGTTTTTCTTCAATGTAAAGAAGTGTTTTAATGTTTTTGAAACAAAAATATTTAGTGTCGATAAACTGTAAATCGCCTGAATAATCGTTGAAAACTATGGTTTCAAAAGCGTTGTCTCAAGCTCAAACAAAGATTACTAAACTCCATTTATATTATAAAACAGCTGAAATATTTTTAGAACATACCTTTATAGTATAATTTGAGTTTGAGTTTGTCTTGATCTTTCGTGTTTTGGTTTGGCTTGCACAACAACGTTGAAAATGTATTTTCAAACGACGATTTCTGTATATATTCTGTTCAGAACTATTGCTTTTCGTAAAAAAACCCACGGGAATGGGTTTTTTCCTTTAAAAAAGCTTTTTTTCCACTTCAAATCTCGATATAATTGTTTTTGCAAACTTTGTTGAAAAAAACCAATTCGCACTCCCTGCAACCGCGCGAATTTCCTTGCCGCAGGAGTCAAAATGCCCTTATAAATCCGAAATGCTCTTATAAATCCGCCATTTTGTGGAGACAAAATTTTTACTGAGAAGAGAAAGGAGTACGCATTCTATGTCTATTATTTCTATGATGTCGCTTCGCGCATACCGGAAATTGCCCGCTCTAATTACTCGCAGCCAGTAAAAGCCAGTCAATTTGTTAGAGATTTGTATTGTAGAATGGCTATTTGGCTGAATAAATCGACTATTTTTCTTAAACGAACGATTCAAATTACAAACCACGGCCGCTGGTTGTAAATTGAAGGTTAGTGAATACATTTCTGTTAGTTATGAGCTATTAATTAAAGAATTGCTAAATGCGAAATTTGAACGTATTAATACATGTCGTTTACTTACAAGTATACAGTACAGTATATGATATACTAACATGATAGTTGAGTTATTTATTGGAAAAATTCGATGTCTTCGAAGTAATATTGTAGTAATAGGAATGAATGTTAATGCACTTTCATACTGCCACTTTGGGGCAAAAAAAAAAACAACGTCCCTAACAGAAACAATATATCACCGTATATAACTGGTGAACTGGATACAAAATACAGCAAAAAAGTAAACAATTTTTAAATATATATAACCGTCCAAAACAGCATGCACGCTTGAAAGAATTTTATTGCGAATGCGCTGAATTATATAATTAGGGTAAGATGAAGTCTATACTATTCGAACTTATCAATTCTTAGATACCGCTGACCATATGTGAAACAAAATCCTGCGGGTTTATCCCGGGGGTTAACTGTGCCTGTTACGAAACCCAAACAATTTCCCTTCCCCGAGGGAAACTATTTTTTTACAAAACAAATCCCCTCCTGTTCCCAGGGGTCCGCCCTGGGGTGTCTCGGGGGTCGACCCCCGGGGAAGTCAATGATAAGTGCATTAGATAAGGAACTAAACTCTTTACACTGACCTGAAAGGTCAAGTGTCTTAAATCCCTAATTTTCTGTTTTCTGTTTTCGTCGTCGAGAAATGGAGTTTGCGTTAGCGCATCGCCGGCTCAGGGTGCAACGATTAAGCAAAAATGCAATCGATTCAAATGCCATCGATTCCTCGACTGCTTGATTTAGTTTTCATAGTAACAACCTCCGTATTCATGTACGTAGTAGTCGGCTCATGCCATGCTTGTGGTACATCTTTCTTTATTAGCCCATACACTTGTACGCACGCGCATAATTACCAGTTCCAGACCTCCTGAGTGCCTATCTCCCTCAGAGACCATGTGCATTTATGGATAACGTTTGTATTTGTGAGTGTAATATCAATGAAAACACCAAACACGTTTCAGTAATTATTTATAAAGTCTCTCTCATATGTTTACACGTTGACTACAAAACCCAGACAAAGCACGACTTCTGTATGTCTACATGTCTATTACTAAGATATAATGTTACCGTGTAGTGTTACCATAACTTGTCAACAAACTTAACAATCATCACGAAAGGTTAGAGGTCTATATACTACACTACTCCCTCCTTTAAAAGAGAGCGTCCTCGATCTCGACATCTTCTAAAGTAAAGTCTTGATACCGATCCGGCTGTCGACGTACACGAGTCGAACGGCGCAGCCCTCTAACAGTAGTTGGTGTCTCTTGCGGTACAGTTAACTGTTCTTCCTCATGATGAGTTATCACCGGCTCATTGAGCTCATTGATCTTGGGTAGTTCTGAATTCGAACGACTCTCTAACCTCTTCAAACGGTTCTGATGTACCACTTTCGTCTTTGCTTTTCCCCCTTCCGGCTTGATGTGGTAATTGACGCGACCCAGTTGGCAAAGTACCTCGTACGGTCCTGTCCACTCTTGGTGAAACTTACGACTTTTCCCCTTCGGAATCGCTTTACTATTTAGCCACACCCGATCTCCCGGCTTAAGCTGTGTGCTCTCGACTTTAGTCGCTTTGTCATAGTCTTCCTTTTGTCTCTTCTGGGCTAGGCTGATGTTATTCGCAACATGTTTGTGCACCTTACGTAAGGTCTGCTCGAGCTCGTCACAATAGTTTCCTGATAAGCCTCTGGTTGACATATTTTCTCCATCAATCAGTGTTAATGGAGAGACAGCTTCACGACCATAGACAGCTTTGAAAGGTGAAACGCCCGATGATCTGTGTATGCTCGTCCGATAGGCGAACAACGCTAGTTGTAGATGAATGTCCCAATCGTTGTGGTCGTCGTTAACATATGATGTCAGGATCCCCTTTAAGGTGCGATTAAATCGCTCTCCTTGTCCATCGGTTTGGGGATGGTACGGCGAGGTCCGCAATTTCTTTACACCAAGGAGCTGCATTACTTTCTTCATCAGGTCAGACTCGAAATTTCTCCCCTGGTCAGTCAAGATCCTGTCTGGGATTCCGTGGCGAGTAATCACTTGATCAACAAGCGCTCTAGCTACAGTATCTGCGCACTGGTTAGCCATCGGTACAGCCTCAACCCACATCACAAGTACATATTGGTTGCCTCGAGCAGTCACTGGTAGTGGACCCATGATATCCATGGCCCACAGTTCCATTGGTTTTGCAACGGGGATACTTTGCATTGGGGCTCTTTGGGTAGAAACTGGAGGTTTCCGGCGAGTACACAGCTCACACTCTGCTATCCAGAGCTGTACTTCGGATGACATCCCAGGCCAATAATACTGGCGTTGTAAACATTCCACACAGCGAGTAACACCCATGTGTCCCGAACATAGATTGTTGTGAGACAAGTCCAGAACATTGCCTCTCATTTTTCTGGGGACAACTAAAACCAACCGTTCATCTTTGCAACCTGATTCTACTTGGCGGTGCAACATTCCGTTTACAATTTTCAGCTGGGGCCAAATTTGCCGATAGCGTCGAAGTTCTCCATTTGTTGTCCAGTCTCCACTAGCTTCGGGTTGCTCTTTCGTTGTAGCAAGATGGTGGATCACGCGCCCTGGGCTTCTCGAAGCTCGTCCAAGGACCATTGTGGCAATATTTCCGTTGCCCCGATTCCTGCAGCAAGTTGGTCGTCATCATTCATCACTGGCTTGGGTGGATCAATCTTTGCTGGAAAACGAGAGAGAGCGTCCGCATTCCCATTTTGTCTTCCTGGGCGATGCTTTATTTGGAACTGGTATTCCTGTAAGGACAGGATCCACCTCGCCAATCGACCTTTCGGTTCCTTGAGTCCCTGAAGCCATGTGAGACATTGGTGATCCGTCACGACATCGAATGTTTTCCCAAGTAAATAAGTCCGCCAATAATTAACCGACCAAACAATTGCTAAGCATTCCTTCTCAGTAGTGGAATAGTTTTTTTTCTGCGGGTGTTAAAGCGCGACTGGCATAGGCAATAACATGTTCTCGACTGCCAATGCGCTGGGCTCATACCGCGCCCAGGCCCACATCGCTGGCGTCCGTGTAGATGGTAAAAGGTATGGAAACATTTGGCAAGGCGAGGACTGGTGAAGAGCAAAGGTGATGCTTCAAAGTGGTGAAAGCCTTGTCAGCCTGAGGTGACCAGCAGAATTCCGGTTGACCTTTTGTGAGGTCATGAAGAGGGGCGGCGATACTTGCAAAATTGTTGACAAAGCGCCGGTAGTAAGACGCCATGCCTAAGAAGCACCGAACTTCACTTGCTGAGGTTGGGGTTGGAAAATCTTGCACTGCTTTCACCTTCTCAGGATCAGGCTCCGTACCTTGAGCAGACACGACATGACCTAGAAACTATACCGATAATTTCCCAAACTGGCACTTCTCCCTTTTCAGTTTCAGATCAGCTTCCCGAATACGTCCAAGGACTTCCTCGAGAATAAGATGGTGTTCCTCCCACGTATCAGCAAATATGATGATGTCATCCAAGAAAACTAGACATCCTTTCACTCCCTTAAGGATGGTGCTCATCATACGTTGGAAAGTGGCAGGAGCGTTGGTCAGACCAAAAGGCATGACTGTAAACTCGTAATGGTTCATCCCAACCGAGAACGCTGTTTTCTCCCTGTCTTCCTCTCGTAACGGAACCTGCCAATAGCCAGATGCAAGATCAAGTGCACTAAAGCATCTTGCTCCGCCCAACTGATCGAGAATGTCATCGATTCGTGGCATTGGTTGCGCGTCCTTCTTCGTCGCCGAATTTACCCGACGAAAATCTACACAAAACCGATAATTTCCATCCTTTTTTGGCGCTAACACAATTTGTGATGACCAGGGACTAGTGCTTGATCTAATGAGACCTCGCTCTAGCATATCAGCAACTTGTTGATTAACAACGGTTTGGAGGTGTACAGGGATTCGGTAGGGGCGTTGCTTGATTGGTCGACTGTTTCCCGCGTCAATCAAATGTTCCGTGTCTCGAGTACAACCCAACGGATCATTCGGACCGTTGACAAACACATCCGCATAATTCTCCAATAAGACACTCAACTTATTGACTGATGGGGTTGTAAGCTCCACAACTAGTGGCACGTTACCACCCGGCCAGGACAACTTCGAATTTCCTACATCGACCAGCATTTTGCTCGCTTTTAGAAAGTCAGCACCCAAAATACAAGTATTAGTCATGCCAACCGCAACTGTGTCCTTGCCTAACTGGAACTGTAGTTTTGCTTGACCAAGAACTTGAAGTTCTTCACCGCCGATTCCTCGTGCTTTCAGAGAACATGGTGTCAAAGGACCAGGGACCAATTGACGACTTACTAAAGATACAGAGGCTCCTGTATCTACCAAACATTTTTGCTCACGTCCCTCAATACGTGCTTCGATAAAAACTCCGGTCGGT